AAAAAAAAAAAAAAAAAAAATAAAAAAAAAAAAAAAAAAAAAAATAATAATAATAATAATAATAAAAAAATGAATATAAAAAATTAGATTTTGCCTTAACAAGAACAAGAATCGCCTAAAATTTTAGCTATGCTATTTTCGCTCTAGTCTTAACGTTTTTAAACCTATAAAATATTTGAAATCCATGAAAAAAAATTTAAAAAAAAATTCTTCTTTTGACTATTTTAATTGCCTAGAATTTTACATTTTTTTCATAGAAAAAAATATGAATTTGAATATCAAAGGCCTGCTAGCGAACCTGAAATGCAAGTGCTATAAAACGGCAAACAGGTCGATAAAATAATATCGTTATTAATAGACTCAGATGTGATCTCTGGCGCCGCCTCAACCCAGCTCAACCCAACTCAACTTTTATAACACCTCACACACGAACACCGCAAATTCGTGTGTCCAAAATTTCAGCGCGTGAATCATGCACTCCAAATGCGCCTGGAGCCTAAACATATTAAGAAAATAAATAAAGTATCAGCAAAATAATAATAATAGTGGAAATAAGTGTGACAAACACTTGAGGAGCTCGATGATTGGCGCTTGCCTTTATCAACGCCCGTCGCAAGTCGCAAGTCGCAATTTCGCGTGCCCTGCCTCTACCCTGACCCCTACCGCAGACCCTGTCCCCTTGGACATAACTTTATAGTCGCTTTCCGTGCTGTTTAAATACATATATACTATATAGTATGTTTATATGTATATGTATATATTTATATCATATCGCATGTCACCCCATGCACCCCATTTGCAGCGATTTGAACCCCTTTTTGAGGGAATAGCTTTAATTTCTTCACTTTTTTATGCGCTTCTCTAAGTGTATTTACACGGCGATTAGATAAGAGGACTTCGGCTATGCTTCGGCGACGGCGTTATAAATAATTTATTGCTTATCTGACTTCGTCGAGTTATCAATGCCAACAACTACCACCAGGTGGGGTGTTCGCTCCAGGCACTGATATCATCCAGGGCGGACTAAGTTTCTTTTCTTTTTCTTGTTCTTCCCACTTTATTTTTGGGGTGCGCTTAGCCGCCCAGTCAATTTACATGCCCAACATACGGATCTCGCCTAAACCAACACTTCAGACTCGCATTGGGCGTGACCACGGCGTCCAATCAATCCACGGAACATTGACACATATCACGTCGAAAATGTTGTTCACATGAGACCAGATTTGAATAGAAAAATATTTGGTTGGGAAACTTTTGGCTGGCGAGACGTTTAAGCATGTGATGGGAAATTGGATATGAAAATATATAGAGCTCTATGCGTTCGGGAGAGACTAATTGTTAAGGGAGTATCCTGAGCAGAGTAGAGATTTTTTTGTGCTTCTTATTTATTTT